GGACCCGGAAGCATTGAGACGCTCGTATGAAGCTGCTTATCGTATCATCTTTGCAAGATCTATGGTAGAAATCCTGGATCATGATTTCACCGTCGCGACTATGGTAAACGGTAGCACTGAGTATATGATTGCGGCTGTCGTTGTCGTTCCAGTGTTTACTTACATCGTAGAGGGTCTCTTAGGATTCATATCGATATGCAGCATCGCCCTTCTTGTCATATCTCTTCGTCGACAATGGAGCCTGCAATCCGACCCGGCAACGATCGCGAGTGTTATGGCGCTGGTCTCCGATAACCCATCGTTACTAGATGACTTCTCGAAGCTTGAATGCGCCAATATGGAAGACTTCCAAGCGCATTTGAAGGACAAGAAGTTCTCACTAGAGCATAGTGAGCGAGGTAATACGTAAGTAGATGCCCACCAATGGCTCTGGATTCTCACTGATCACTTTCGCAGTATTACCGAAGCAGACAGTTTCGACCCGCTGGGTATTAATGCTCATGGTGTTATCCGTACCGACTCGGAAGAGTCTCAGACTCTAATACCAGTACGGCCACGAGAGTTCCGTTCTTTCATGATGCTACCCTTTGTTGGCCTACTGATAGCCCTTGCGATCGCTCTTGGCATTCTGTTATCGAAGAGCCAGCCTCACGGTAAGAACATGCCGCTGCAACGATGCAGCTCCGCTAATATGTCTCGAAGGTGTCGCTAGACCATCGGATACGGTTGTTCGCCAACTTGTTACGAATTATATCCCTACTGCACTTGCGACATTGATCGAGCCTGTTTGGATCTTGATTAACCGCTTATTGTGCCTGCTACAACCTCTCGAGGAGCTCCGAGGCGGTAAAGCGACCGCACAAAAGTCGATCAACGCCGACTACAGCTCTCTACCACCACAGCTTGTCGTCTTCAAAGCACTTCGATCCTCTCACTTCAAACTTGCTGCAGTTTGTCTCATGGCTCTTCTTGCCAATGTTCTTGCAGTTGCTTTTTCCGGAGTTTTCGAAGAGCGTTCCGTTATGGTTCCTATGGAGATGTCGTTCGTGCCGCCCTACGAACACAAGTTCGTGTCGATCAACGGAAGCGTGGGGCCGAACATGCCGAACCAAGAGCAAGTATCGTTGAGGCCTTCTGGCGCTTATACAGGAGGCTTAGGTTCGAACCAGTTCCTAGTTGCTGAGTCCAACTACACTGCAGGTACCCCACTTCCAGCATGGACCGACGATCAATTCATGTACATGCCATTTGTGGACGAAGAACATCCAAGCACCGAGCCGACCGACGAGCTTCGGGCTCGAACGGAGGCCATTGGAGCAAAGCTCCAGTGCCGACAGATCCAGGCCCGGGATTGGACAGCGAGCTGGTTCAGCGACGGCTTCGACAGGTCCACTTCAAACATCTCTGTGACGGTGGATGGCATCACTTGTGCAAGGAAAGGCATCAACACATCTCTGAACCCGTTTGTTGTCGAGGCCACACAATCCCAATGTCAGACTGGTAAAGTCGCCTTGGAATACGCAGGCATTCTTGAGGCGCGCCAAAACGCCACTTCAGCCGAGAAGAATTTCTGCGCTGAGCTGGCTGTGCTTGGATACATCCGGGACGCAGACATTTGTTCACGGAATACGACAACGAAGTTTGATGAGCAAGGCGCGGTCTTCTTCGGGTGCAACTCCAGACTCGTTGGGGGCGAGGCGAACGTGACGATCACGAAGGATGGGCGAGTACAAGATGTTTCGCAAGCAAATGTCACTTCGGACCTATCGCCAGCGTTCCTGGACCGACACTTCAGTAACGATGCATCGAATCTTTTGCACCAAGGAAACGCCTATGTTCTAGCGAGATTTGCGATACCGAAGTGGCACAACCAATCATATGCTGGCGACTTCATGAACTACTTCATGATCAAGCAAGGTAACAGCAGCCGGTTGACGGATCCAAGCCAATCCTTGCCCTCACTAGATGAGGTGACACGGCACTTGTATCCCGTCTACAGCAAATTGTTCGCGATCTGGCTCGGCGTCAACAAAAGAAAGCTTCTAGTACCACGCGAGAAGGACACCGCTACTATTGTAGAAGGTCTAGCGAATGGCCGGCAAACTCGACTCTTTCTGTACATGCCGCTATTCGTCGTGGCCGAAATTATCCTGGGCGTCTATGTAGTCGTCGCGGTATGCATTTTCCTTTGGCGACCGGGCCGCTTCCTGCCGCGCATGCCGACTTCCATCGGTGCCATTATAGCGCTCTTCGCAGCGAGCCAGGCCGTGCTGGATATGCGTGGGACTAGTCTACTGTCCAGCAGGGAGCGGAGAAAGCATCTACAGAGCTTGGACAGAACGTACGGCTACGGGACATTCGTGGGCGCGGATGGGAAATTGCACGAGGGGATTGAGAAAGAACCGCTTGTGGATGCCGTGCCGCTCCGCGGTGTACTAGAAAAAATACAGACTGGGTTTTCCTCGAAGAGCTCGATGTTCAAACGAGATCGGGATTGAGGGAACGTTGATGCCTGAGAGCCTTCGTAGTTGCTGTTTCGCGATGAACGCATTCTTCTTGATGAAGACTATCCTCTTTGTGTACAAATCGTTATTTTGCCTTCATTCTTGAGTTTCCAAGACCAACAACATGTGATGGCAATATTTGCGGGATTATCATCTCGCAGTTATCTGAGTGGTCGAATGGGGAAATGACGATGGTACATGCGATTGGCAGGTGTGAAAACGGGCTACATGAGTGATAGACAGACCGACTACCAAGATCATGGACGCTCGTGCCGTGGAGCCAGGAACGGAAATTGGAGCTGGATGTAGTAGATGTGGAGAACGGTGACGCGTAGGAACGTTTGTGCGCTCTATGAGATGGACAGCCGAGCTAATTGAGTTGCTTGGGTGCCAATCCGCACAGCACGAATGTGGGCATGAAAGAGTGCATTGGCGTTTGGGAAAATGCAAACGTAAAAAAGAATGCCGTTTGGATCATGTTTCGTGGGTAGCGAGGGTTCGTCGCCTGTCACATGCCATCACCAGCGAGGCCATCGAAGCTCTTGCCTCAAATCTTTCCCCGCAATCACCACAACTTACCTTTGAGATGGGAGAAGCGGGGCTATCGTCGCACGTTTTCTGCAAGTCTCACTCAGAAAAGTTGCGTTCAAGTGATAGGCTCGAATGGTCTTGAATTCCTGGCACCAACCGCGCTGCTTCACTCGCGTTGGGCATCAGCACCAGTAAGCCAGGTAGGACGTAATGACGAGGGGGTTTACTATTGTTTTGTCTCGCGCTGTTGGCGTCACCAACTTGCAGCTGGTGGTAGACGGTCCAATGTCAGTAATCGACGGCGCATCCGAAACACGGCCTCGCTAGCCTTTTTCGATCCCCACTGATCAGCTTTCAGGAGGAAAGGGAGGCCCAGCGGTGTTGGCTCCTCGCCGCCCGTCTATCGTGTACGGGTAAGTGATTTGATGAAACAAGCTGCGGTTGGTAGACAGCCAATCAGTCGTTGGAGCGAGGAAGGCCTGAAGGCAACGACGCTTTCCCATCACGAGCTGATGTCGACGACAGGCTGGTAGCGAGGCCCACGGGTCGCTAGGTACCGCCGTGTCGTCACCTGCACGAGACCAGACGCCGCAGCCACACTCACCTTATGCCCGGATCCGCCGTACTTGCGACCTTCGTCGACACCGACGCTCCGACACCGAGAGCAACTCGCCCACGTTGTGGCGCAGCCAGCTGAACACGAGGCCACGACAGTTGCATTGGGTCGATCTCCCAGATTAGCAGCGTTCGCCGTCAGGAACCATGCATAGACCGAGGGCTGTTAATAATCAGGGTCTAATACTGTCGAGAGTAACAGAAGTGACGGCTAAAAGGTGGAGGCCCAGTAAAAGACCTCGCGCATGAGGGATACCCAGGGTGCGACGCATGAAGTTCGATGACATCGACGCGGCCGGTCGCCCACAAGGCCTGCAATCAAAGACCTCTTTGTCATTCTGGTCGGTCCGCTGCATAGCAGACTCCAGAACTTCAGTCTGGCGCTCGTGTCGCAAACACGGCGGTAAGTAACCTCTGCGTTACCTGCAAAGAGTCGCGATTGTGCAACCTGGTTTGTTGTCGGACAAGCCATGGGCGCACGCCCGGTGTGCGTCGAGATGAGCACGTCTGCCAATGGGAGGCTCCGCAGCGGCTTTCGCGAAGGATGCTGATCGTTTCAGCTTTAGCAGGCGATCGCCACTCCACACCATGGCTAGCTCTTCCCACTATGGAGTTATCGATAGGCTAGGATTCGGCATTCCCCTGCATAGTACACAGACCGTCGGCACAAACTTCAAACCTGACGTTGGCCCCCTGGCCATAGCCTCGCACCAATGCCTTCCCCTCTGAGTCGCTCTCCGCTTTTTTGTTTCAAGGACAATGCTCTTGTCATGACCACATGGCCAATGGTATCGGTATCGTGCCTGCCGAGAGCTCAGGACTTTGACGTTACACCACTTATCCTGCGCTCGTCCCCCTGCCGCTAAACCGGGAGGGGGACGCCAGCCGAAAGAAGCCCGTCAACCGTTGCAAGAGAAGCCTTGCTCCGTCGAATAGCCTATGCTTCTTCACGATGATCCGCCGGGCATAGGCTCCTGAGTCCTTGCACTGCTGTACGAGCCCGTCCCGACCGCCACAGGCTAGCCATGTGGGTAGACATGAGCCTCCGTATATAACTGATCTGTGTTTCGTCTGCTTTTCCTTCTCATCTCAGGCTATTCACAGCAGTACCAAACTCTTCTCTGTTTCTTTTGCTTTTGCACATCTTGCCTGTGGCAGATCACATTCTTTACCATTGCTGTGCGTCAACGAAGAGCTAGACTCAACAACACCTCTTCCGCCTATATCAAGTACCACTTGCTCTTCGACCTTCAAACCACCACAGCCATCACATTCATTCCATCGCTCAGCAGGTCTAGCGATATCCAAACGAGAATATCTACTTCTCACATCACTCTTTACAACATCAACATGTTTGCCCAAGCCAACCTCATCTTGGCACTCGCTGCCAGTGCCACCGCGCACATGATCATGGACTACCCTGTTCCATACGGAAAGGCTACTCTGAACAGCTCTCCCCTCGCTCCAGGCGACTACCCATGCAAGCAACGCTCTGGCATGTACGAAGTCACGGAGATGAACCAGTGGGACGCCGGCGAGACCAAGACCATCTCCTTCACAGGCTCTGCTGTTCACGGAGGTGGATCATGCCAATTCTCCATCACTACCGACCCCGAGCCATCCGAGAGCTCTCAGTGGAAGGTCATCCAGAGCGTCGTCGGTGGCTGCCCATCGAACGTCACTGGCAACATTGAGCCGGCTGACCCCAACGGTCACGGAGCCGCTACCTTCCCTGTGAAGATGCCCGAGAGCATCCCCGACGGTCAATACACCTTCGCCTGGACTTGGATCAACAAGATTGGTAACCGGGAATTCTACATGAACTGTGCTCCTGTCAAAGTCGGCAGCGGATCCGGTAGTGCGTCGACGAAGAGTGACGCGTCTGCGCTCTCTGCCCTTCCGGACATGTTCGTCGCCAACCTGCCCGATACATCTTGCAGCACCGCCGAGGGCGAGGACTTTAATTACCCCAACCCTGGTGAGAACATCATCGAGGGCAACGGCTCCTCTCTTGGAAACACTCTTACCGGTGCCGGATGCGATCAGATGACCAAGATGGGCGCTGGAAACGGACAGATGGGAACACCTTCCCAGCCTGAGGCCTCCCAACCCGCATCGAGCGAGGCGCCTGCCGCGACTTCCGGTTACGCCGCACTCCCATCCAACGGCGGTGGTGTTTTCGCCCCTGGTGCTTCTTCTGCTCCCGCTGCTGAGCCCACTCCTGCTGAGCCCACTGCCCCTGTCGCTACACCTACCCCCACCTATGTTGCTGAGCAGCCTAGCAGCGCTCCCGAGCAGCCAGCCTACAGCTCGCCTCCTCAGGTCCCCGACAACAGCACTCCCAGCGCACCCTCCAGCGGCAGTGACTGCACTCCCTGTGACAACGATGGCGCCGTTGTATGCATCGGTTCCAACATGTTCGGTCTCTGCAACCGCGGATGCGCTGTTGCTCAGCCTCTCGCCAACGGCATGTCCTGCTCTGGTGGTGCTGTTGTCGCTTCCGTCAAGCGATCCGCCAAGTTTCCTCGCGCCCACCTCCACCGCCGCCACGGCTCGTCCCTCTTCATCTAAGAGTCTCGCAGACGTTCTTAGATATCCTCAACAGCCGTTGGCTACGAAATGCAATACCTGGAGTTTGGGAAACGGATCGGGGCACCCACGGATTGGGTCGTCATACAGGATGGGTTGGGTTTTGGGTCTCTTGTTCATATACCTCTTCATGATGCGCGGATGCCGTTCGGTTCTGGCTCGTGACTGTTTTTGCGCTTTGCTGTTGTTACATTCATTCATGACCGGCTCTAGATTGAGCCGGCATGCCCTGTTATCTTCCTTGGAGAGAGTCGCTGTGATCTGCCTCGTGTCTACGAGCGCAACATACCCTGTACCTACTGTACAAAATCATACAAAACACTTGCTCGTTCTATACTATTTTGCTCATATGTATGAATGTCGTGACGCTTGCTTCCTTGCTCCCATTCCCGTTCCTTCTTATTGTAAAACCACCTCATACGAGAAAGAACCCGAATGGTTCTAGAGCCTACATCGACGTTAGGTCAGCTACTTTACATTTGTTCATATTGATGTAGGCCGCAGACCTGTTCAGTTTTTCCCCAGGTTGTCGTCAATCTACCACTGAAGACAGCATGGGAAAGCCATGCAATTGCGCATTGTCTGCACTTCTTAATTATGATATTTCCATGACTCTATACAACTCTGGCGATGACTACAAACGTAGCGTAGCCAAGCAAAACCACGAGGCTATTCACCGGTTTATGACGTTCATGGGATGGCCGGCTCCTGATTGGGCAGCCTCTCAGGGAACAGCCAAGGGGACCAACTTCCCCTCTGATTCCCACTTTCAGCCCTAAGCTCCTGTCGCCAGCGCACACCCGAGCACGCGACGAGCCAAACGACAAATCCCCCTACGGCCAGTCGACTTCCATTGTTTCGTGCTGTCAGGCCCCAGAATTCTAACCGCGCCGAGGCCTTCGTTTCGCACGCCGCCGCCACTCAAGCTTAGGCGGTCATTGCGCTCGCCCCACTACTTCGCTGCCTTCACCTCCACCGTCTTCTCGTGCTCGCTCCCTACGCCTTGCTGTTCAGACCGCCCACCATGGAGAACCAACCGCAGGATGTCGACCAGTCCAAGTACATTGACAATGCAATTCGCGCCGTCCGTGAGAAGAAGCCGCTCCCTGAGATTGACTTCACCCTGCATACTATGGAGGATGGAAACCAAGTGAGCACCCAGGAACGTGTATGCAAAGGTATGCTCATTCTATACGTTGTGGCATGGCCTTCCGCCAGCTTGTTCGCGTTTGCGCCGTTTTCGAGGCACACAGTCAGCTAACTGTGCCGTGTTCGCCAGACGTACAAGCGCCCGCCTTCCACCCGCCCACCGACGAGCAATTCTTCTCCCCTCAAGATCGCACAAAGCCCAACATCCAATTTCTGAAGCAGCACTTCTACCGCGAAGGTCGCTTGACCGAACAGCAGGCGCTATGGATCATAAAGAAGGGCACAGAGATCCTCAAGTCGGAACCCAACATGCTGGAGATGGACGCACCCATTACCGTGTGCGGTGATGTTCACGGGCAATACTACGATCTTATGAAGCTGTTCGAAGTCGGTGGCGACCCAGCAGAGACGCGCTACCTCTTCTTGGGAGACTACGTCGATCGCGGCTATTTCAGTATAGAGGTAAGACGGCAGGAAAACAACCGCTGTGCATTGGCTGACACTCGCAGTGTGTTTTGTACCTCTGGTCGCTGAAGATCTGGTACCCCAACACCCTCTGGCTTCTCCGAGGAAACCACGAGTGCCGCCATTTGACCGACTACTTCACATTCAAGCTCGAATGCAAGCACAAGTACTCCGAGGCCGTGTACGAAGCCTGCATGGACTCGTTCTGCGCACTTCCCCTAGCGGCTGTTATGAACAAGCAGTTCTTGTGTATACACGGTGGATTGAGCCCCGAGCTTCACACTCTAGACGACCTGAAGAGCGTACGCGGAACTCCACCCTTTCTAACGCCATCGCTAACCTTATCAGATTGATCGTTTCCGCGAGCCACCTACCCACGGCCTCATGTGCGATATTCTCTGGGCTGATCCTCTCGAAGAATTCGGCCAGGAGAAGACTAACGACTTCTTCGTTCACAACCACGTCCGCGGATGCTCATACTTCTTTTCGTACCCCGCTGCGTGCGCTTTCCTCGAGAAGAACAACCTTCTGTCAATCATCCGCGCACACGAGGCGCAAGATGCTGGATACCGAATGTACAGGAAAACACGGACGACTGGTTTCCCCAGTGTCATGACAATCTTCAGCGCGCCGAACTACCTCGACGTATACAACAACAAGGCTGCGGTTCTGAAGTACGAGAACAACGTCATGAACATCCGACAGTTCAACTGCACACCGCATCCGTACTGGCTGCCTAACTTTATGGACGTCTTCACATGGTCATTGCCATTTGTTGGCGAAAAGAGTGAGCAGAAGTGCCAGTTCATATTGCGATATCATACTAACAAGTCGTAGTTACTGACATGCTCATTGCGATCCTAAACACCTGTTCGAAGGAGGAGCTCGAAGAGGAGACGCCCAGCTCTCTGGCTTCCGGTCCATCATCGCCACCCCTCTCCAGCCTCGACCCAGATTCGACCGAGTTCAAGCGACGTGCGATCAAAAACAAGATTCTGGCGATTGGTCGCCTCTCTCGTGTGTTCCAAGTGCTTCGCGAGGAGTCTGAGCGTGTCACTGAGCTCAAGACTGCATCGGGTGGTCGACTTCCCGCGGGTACGCTCATGCTCGGTGCGGAGGGAATCAAGCAGGCGATCCACAGCTTCGAGGACGCACGCAAGGTTGATTTGCAGAACGAGAGGCTCCCGCCGAGCCACGAAGAGGTGCGAAAGTCTCAGGAGGTTAGCCGAGAGCAGGCTCTCGAGAAGGCCACCAAAGAAGCCGACAACGACCAAGGTCTCGCGACTGTCGCAAGACGCATCAGCATGTAAGCATCGATCCTACGTAGCTTGTCGTGCAGTAACTAATTCGCATAGGTCATCTGGCTCTGGACGCAGCCGGAGAAGCTAGGCGCGATTCAAGCGCTCGCGATCCGAGAGCGAAGCCGATAGACGAGCTATGACATTGCAGGATGTTTAGGTTCTTGATTTCTGTATTGGCGGGCCACCAAATGTCATCAGTATACCACGTAGGCGTATTCGGGCCAGCGTAACCTAGAGGACATCACCTTACGAAGCACGGTAGTAATTTGTCGGTCGACTGCTCAAGTTTAAGGGCGTCGACCTCTCATTGAATCACATAAAATCAAATTCCTATGGCACTAGTGTATAGCCATTGCTCAGTGTGAAGGTGTTTGAGACTGCGCACGGACCCGGACCGAAGCTAGCTTTGCCGACCTACGTCAACATGGACATTTCAACAGCAATGCTCAACTTCAAGCCCGATGCCTCCATGGGTGGCCTCAGTGCCGCGACTGACGATCTTTCGCAAGACAGGACCGACTGATCGACTCCCGCTTGCGCGTCGCTGTCGCAATGTCCTCACTTCACGCCCGACCACCAGCCTCCGCGTGCGCTCCGCATCGACGCATGTCTCCCCGACCGCGATAAATCTGCGCCCGCACATCCCACCTCGGAACAAGGAGTTGTACGATGCACTGTCAGCGCTTAGTGGAGCCGCCGAGACCTACGTCAACATAAGCAGATTGCAATTGGCATTGCGGGGTCTGGCGGCGCAGGATGCTGTAACAAGAGTCGCTGGTACGGAACGCGCAGTTGAATTTTAGGACTAGGGGCTGACGATGCACAGTTCTCGGTTTGAACAGCCAATTGAGTGCGCAGCAGCTTGCACGGCTGCTACTCGCAGATCCGCTCAGTGCTGAGGAGCAGTGGGAGAAGGAACTCGTGAAATCAGGCGACAGCAACGAGAGAGCGGTATTGCTAAAGTATGTGCTTGATCTGCCATACTGGATAGCGCATCGGCTAACACAATCGTTGTACAGATACGGCGACGATGCCGATGCACATGCGCCTTCGCCCCTCTACAGGGTCCTCTCTATACCCTCACGAACCCTTCAATCGCACAACCTAGAGGTCCTCGTCTCTACCATCAACGTCAATGTCGCAAAGTCCCTACCCCATATGGTAACAGAGAGCTCCACCGAATCGTTGCTGGTTCCCAAGCTCCAGGCCACATCCGCACGAGGATTGCCGGTCCCATACCCAGTACACAAGACTCTAGTATTAGGAGAAGGACTGGACAGCGCCATAGCATTTGGCAGATTCTCGGCGGATGGTCTGAACGAGATGGATGATATGGTGAAGATGGCCGTCGACCTTCCCGCCCCGTCGGACGAAGTCAAATCAGATACCCACGCCGCAAGCACTCCCATCAACCTCCAAGTTGGCACGAAAGCGCTCGATAGCTTCCGCGAGTCGATCCAAAACTCCATCATCTATGAGCGAGGCTGGTTCAAAAGTGGTTTGCCAACGCTGTCGGAGTGGTTAGTCCAAGACCTTCAGGCCACAGACGCTATCAAGCCCCCGATGAAGACACTTGTAGCTTCTATAGCCGACGATGTAGAAGCGAGCATCACCAAACAAGACGCTGCTCGATTGCAACAGCTTGCTCCGGTCCAGACACAATCAGACGTCACAACCTCCATCGTCGGTCATCTCGAGACCTGGGCTGAGAAGTCTCATGCGGAGCTCCGTGACGAGCTTGATGAAGCCTTTACGGCTCGAAACTGGCACAAGTTGGCTTGGTGGAAGCTTCTCTGGCGTGTGGACGACGTCACGATGATAAGCTCGGAGATCCTCGAGCGGCGATGGCTCGTCTCAGCGGAGAAGAACAGCATCTACCTCGCCGGTCGCATGAACCAAGCTGGTTTCCCAGATGACGTCCAACATCTCGCCGTTGCCGATATCCCGGAAGTGACAACGCAGGACACAGCGCCGACAGCAGAGAACCCGCGAACAGATCTGTCCACCAACGTCCGGAAACCAATACCATGGCCCGAACACATCGCGGCTGCTCGCACAGAACTCATCAACGACACCGTGCCACCTCTGCAGGCACTCGCTCAACGACTTCTCCTACAGACTTTCAGCACCACATCCCTCTCGTCCGCTGCTTCGGCACTGCTCTACGCCTCCATGTCTACATTCTCCGTCTTCGAGGCTTCAGCCGTGGCGGCACTCGGTCTTACGTTTTCTCTTCGCCGCGTGCAGAAACTATGGGAAGGTGCCAGAGAATCATGGGAGGGTACCCTGAGAGAAGAGGGTAGACGCACGTTGAAGGGTACAGAGGAGAGAGTCAGATTCATCATCAAAAATAGAGGCAAGGAATACGTTGAGGATGAAAGTGTAGCTGAGAGGAGGGCAGCGAGGGAAGCTGTAGCAAAGGTCAGAGACGCACTTGAGCGGATGGACGGTGGAGATGGCAAAGGAAGTGTATGATAGATATGTATGAACTTCATTCAGTGTCGAGGAACAGTCTCTCGTCGTGGTTAATCAGAATTGGTGATTTCCCCAGTTTACCTTCTCTCTCGACTCATATATTCCGCGGTTTAACAGTTGCCTGTATTGCAGTATCTGAGTGAAGTGGGGTGACACGATCTCAGCGCAGGTTGCGCATTGCAGGTTGCCTGCAGGTTGCTTATTCACTGCGACCTGCCAACATCCTTTCTTTTTCGAAAGCTAAATGTGGCCTGAATCAGCGCGAATTCGCGCCGATTTGGCGTGATTCTGCCTTATTCACTAACTTTCTGTGGCGTATTTTTGCAAGAGTACGAGGCCGTCACTGTAGTGTTGCCTACAGTACGTGACGGTGCCTGACTGTGCAGCATCGTCTATCGTCCTCGCCCCGCCTGCTCTAAACTTCTTAACAAAGCCCTGTCTGCTGCATAGACAGAGCCTGCAGGGTCTTACTCTGCACAGCATCTAATATTATATAGAGGTAGAAGAATAAGCACGTAGATTTTCTAGAGAGCAGCGCACTTAGGCGGTAGAGGTATAAAAGGTAAAGGTAAGCACTTTTATATATTTGTACATAGCTAGCTATCTGTAGAACCTGTGCTACTAGCAGAGAAACTTAATACAAGAGCTAATGTGCTTACTAGAAGAGATAGATGTAGAAAAAAAGTAGAAAGGGTATGTGCAGTTAAAAACAGCAAAGTTAGCATAAGGAAAGAAATCGCAAATGGCAAATGCTAGGCTACTTAAGGTAGTTGTCTGACTCTGAGATTGAAGAGACGCGCCTATATGCATGTGCATTTGGCCAGAGTACAAAACCACGCTTGGAATGATGTTCCGAGGAAGAAAAGAAACAGAAGCGCAAGGCCAAACACGTAGGACTAGGTATTCCGAAGGGAGGTTTCGCATGTCTGCTCTAAAAGAAAGTTAGCTATGTTGAAGAGTAAAGAGAAAGTAAGAGATTTTAAAAAGAGAAGACTTACTTGAGTTAAGAAGAGGCAAAGAACGGCCACAGCTTCACTTTAGCTTGGCTTTCAGAAAACGGCTGAACTTGTTCTTGTAGTCCCTCTGCCGATCAGCAGCGTCGGCCTTGACCCATCTATTCCAAATCCTCATATGCTTGGTGATTTGCTCGAAGGGTACTTTGCGGATCTCTGTGGGCAGATCTCTGGCTGAGAAACTAATGTGATAATCTGTGCCACGGCTGGTCTCATGAGGATTAATCGTATATCGAATCTAGTACCTTGTTAGCTTAGTTGTAAGATTTAAAGTTGAGTACCTACGTCGTGCGTGTTATGAGTCGCAGATTCTACTTCGTCTGGAATCTCTTCCTGTGTAGGTAATTCCGAATTGGAGGTGGATTCTGTGCGGTTGGATTTCGGCTTTGGTTGTTCAGGAACACGCTGCTTTCCTTGAGCTTTTGAAGAGGATGATGATTGAGCTACGCCTCGTGGATTCTTTGGCATGCTCGCAGGTATTCGAACTTCTACGCTTTGGCCCTAATTATAAACAGTTAGTATTTCCATGCGTCAGACTATATCCTCTTGATTGCTTACCCGACGGCGAGGGATCGATACGCTGGGTTCCATCATCCTTGGCCTTGAAGACAGAAGAGACGGGATTGGTCCGTCATCTTCTTCGTTGTCCGAAGGCGCAATATCTGGGAGGTACTCTTGGCTGTCATCAACGGGTTCGTGCATTTGACCGCTGTCATCCTCAAACGGTGAGTAGCGCATGGCGCCGTTAGATAACGGTTTCCCTGAGCGAGCAGGACGTGCGGAACGTGAGGACATCTTAGTGACGACGGCTAGGACTGGTAGGAGCCGGTAGAGGAGGGTGTTCAGCAGATACTTGATGTTACTGTGGAAGTGCTAGTATGGTGTAGTGTAAGAAGTCAAAATTTAAACTAGAGAAGAGACACCTAAATAGTACCAGGTCCCATCTGTACCAGCGGTCAAACAATTAGGCATCTGTCTCTCACTCTAGATGTGGTAGGTGCGTCACCTACCCCGCCTTTACAAAAGAGAGATGAGAAGCTATAGGTGAAGGCAAAGGGCGGTATGTTGTGAGCAACAAGGTCTAGCTAGCGGTGTCTGAGGGACAGACAGCGAGTGGCTGGGGCTGTGGGAGAGCAGCGTTTGCAACGGGCGGAAATGAACAGGCAAGCAAACACAGACGCCAATGCCGCAGTGACGGTGGTGGAAGGGCTGATGTTGAGTAGAAGTGGATAATAGGCAGGCTTGGTCGCAACTTAGTCACCTAGTTTGAACAATAATAAAAGCACACAGAGTGACAGGCGTAATAAGAGTGTTGGACATGAAGTATATAATTTGAAGTTGAACTTTGATTATGATCTGAATAAACACCAAACAAAATGAAGCGCTAGCTAGACATTGTAGTGACTGTGCAGCAACGCTGTACAAAATACCAAATAAGTATACTCGCAAAACATCAAAACAGAATGCTACTGTGTACGGCCACTCCATCGCAGACCCATTTAAAAGATCTCGCCAAGTCGAGGCTTTCCACCCTTCCAATCATTGCGCTCGTAGTATCGGAAGACAAGATCGTAGCCATCCAAGTCATGTACAATGCGGTCGACGCGACGGTATCCCGCAATTGTCTCCATCCTCTTCGCCTTCTCAATGTTCTTGGCGGGCATCTCGTCAGCAGTAGGCTTAGCCTCGAAAAGAGTGACGCTGAACCTGCCAGGCTTGAAGATGCCGACGACATGCTCAACGACGTCAGCCGTCTCCCTACCAGTCTGGCGGGCAGGTACATTGGTCTCGAACGAGGCGTAGGAGCACTGGGGCTCAGGTGTGACGTGTACAGTGAAGTAGTGGGTGGCATCAGAACCCTTCTTGGAGCCGTTGGGAGCACCACCTGGGGCGGGAATGACGCCGTTGGCAGAGAAGCCACAGGGCGTGAACAGGTAGGCGTCGATGCGGGCATCGGGGTACTTGGAGGTAGGGTAAACATCGGCCAAACCACAGTGCTCAGAAACAACTGTGCCGAGCGTATGGCCCTCAGTGGTCAACTCCTCCGGGAAGGTAAGCTCCTCATCAGAGTTGAAACCAGAGTGGTCGGAAGAAGTCTGCTCGAACACGTCGAAGCTGTCGTCAGAGGTATGGGTGTTAGCAGCGGAATTGAGGACAGTGGAGCCGCCGAGGCTCTCGCTGTGGCCATTCTCTTCCGCAATGGTACCTAGGGACTGGATGGCGTTCTTGCGAGCCTCACGGGCCCTCTGGATGTAGCGACCTTCCGCAACCGCACTTGCGTCCTCTAGATAGAACTGACGGGCGTTCTTCTCGTCGAGGTCGGTCATCAGGATCTCCAGAGTCTCGTCCTCTTCTTCGTCGGTGGCCTGCTCACGCAACATACGTTGAGGGTGGCTCACGAATTTGGTCTCGGTATCAGGCGCAACCTTCTCCTCACCAGGACTGGGAGGTGGAGTGAGGCTGGTGTCTGGACCGGTGATGTAGAGGTACCAATGTTCGCCGTTCATCTTGCCAATCATATAGGCACTGCCACCCTGGAAGCGGTCGTCAAGGTAGCGAACCTCATCACGCCAGCTGCGGTGGGGTCCACGCTGCTGATCGGGGTAGAGATAGTTCTTCCTGCTGTAGAACACGCGGTATGGTGTGGCAGCTGGCGCGACGCCCGATGCCTTGGGTGCAACGAAGGGGAAGCCGACCCCTGCAGCAATCTCCAGCATACGAGTGAGACCCCATAGTAGAGTTGTGGTTCCGCAGGTCTTGAGCACGACCTTGTGAGGAAAGACGAACATGCTCGACTCGGACAAGAGGTAAGCGTCGACATGTTCAGACTCGATGACAGAGAGAACCTTGCAGTTGACAAGATCGAGCATGTCCTTCCAGACATCTGCCGACACCGTCTTCAGTCCAGTTGGGCCGGCCTGTCCAGGCAGTTCGGTAGCAGAAGCGCTAAACCATACTTCCAAGAGCTTCTCGGGACCCTCAAACGAGTTGGTAGAGTCGAGATCGATGGTAGCCTCCTTGTTGATGGTCAAATGAGGGGTGCCAATGTGCGACGAAGGCGAGGCAGTGTAGTGCTGAGGAATCTCAGTAGCGACCATCTCTTGACTGTGTGGCTGTCGCGCGCACGAACAGGTCTGGTAGGTGTGTTTGGTGGCCGTGGCTGTACGGAAGCTTGGGGAGGTGGCTAGCTAGGAAGCTATGTGCAGCACAACCTCGCTCAGACAAGCAATGCGGTGCTCGCCTGAGAAGAATTGGCCCACGGGTCGCAAAGAGTAGGCGAGGCTGGCGTGTGCCAGCAGCAGTTTATGGAGGAGAGGGTAACCGACCGTAGTCGATGTTAGGGAGGTCGGGCGTTGAGGGGAATAAACGAGGCCTTTCGCCGGGAAATGGTGGCAGTGGTTGGGGTCCTCGCGATACCAGATTCCGATACCCTGGGGAAGTATCGGGTCCAGCAGACGAGGAGATCTGCTTTAAATGGGTACGATGGTGGGTGGTGAAGGACGGGGCGTGGCGGGTGTTATCGAGGCCTGTGAATAGTCAGCGCTGGCCGTTGGGATGTCTTGCACACTGCTTCTCGCGGAGACAACGACTCACTTCGCAGGCTTGGACAGAAAGCGTACCAGGTCCTCGCGACGCATAGAAGGGCCGAGGTGGGCGGCGATAGACGGTCTGCGGGCTACTGAAGCCTAGGCAGTGGTGGAGAGGGAGGAGAGTAGGTCTGCCAGCGTGATGATGTAGGTTTGGTGGGCAGCGTTGAGCAGAGAGTCAATGCAATGGCGTTGGGCGCTGATAGAATCTGCGTGAATGAGCGGGCGGACGTGACGAGGTTATATTCCCACACGGCAGGCGCGAGAGATGGGCGTGTGCAGAGTGTCAGGAGAGCGACGTACTGTGCGCAGTGGATGCAAACTTCACTAGGGGAATTTGGCGTGTGTGGTGCTGGGGCGACGTCGTGGAAGCTTCGGGCCTTCACGCGACAGCGATTTTTCACGAGTGCGGTGTTTTCGCATCAGGACGTCACCGCCCGTCCCAAGTGGCTGGAGCGCCCCGCCGTCTGCCATTTCACCCGACTCGGCCACCCGCCATGTGCCTGACACAAGACGCGAATAGGTCCGACTGCCACTGCTGCCATGATCGGCTGCTGCTATGTACATCAGGGAACATGCTGCCTCTGCCATTCCACCCTACGCCCAGCTGGGAATAGCAGCACATGATCACGGCTTTACACGTACGTACCAATGGTACCTGATCTCACCAGCACAGCCTTACGCCCTCAATCAGAACCCGATGGGCATGTGTAGTCTATGCTCCTTTGCAATCTCCGTCGTCAAAGTATCCCAATCTTAACGCAGCTGCTCTACATGACTGTGCACGACCACCTCTCACAACCAGGGCGAAAATACACACCATCCAATACAGCCAAGTTGATCGTATTGCCCGGAATAATAATCGCACAAACTGCGTATACATGTATAACACCTCCCCATAAGGACACCAGGCCCTATGGCGTCAGCACAGCCCCTGCAACAAGCAAGCATACTCCCAGTACTCGTGACTACGGGCCGAAACACCAGGCGCACCCGTCCGTCTTTGTTCCAGCTTAATCGCATACAACAAACCTGATATATCTATATCCTAAATCAACACTTATTACCACCTAACCTTCCCTTTCAGGCATCTTCAACTTCAGCTTCCCTCTATTGATCATCATCTCGAAACATTCTCTCAGATCCAATACTAGCGCATCTGGTGCCTCGAAGCCTGGCAACATTGCGGGGCGGCCAGCATGGCGCTTCACCCAGGATATGTCCCAGGAACGTGCACCCCACATTAGCGGTGTTGCGGTGCTGCTGTTAGGATGAAGGAACGTGGAGATGCCAAGGGGAGTGGATGTGAAGGGTTGGTAAGAGGGGGATTGCATGTCGATGTGTGCGCGGCGGAGCCAGCGGAGGGCCTATCCGTCGTCAGACGTCAGCGGTGAGAAACTTCAGACGAAGACTTCAAGGGTAGACCAAGCTAGGCCTCAGCAGATCTTCAAGTGGCAAAGAGTACGTCACGAACAGCGGCGAGTACCTCCCAACCTCCTCATGACAAGCGCGTCAAATATATGAAAAAGGTAACGTACCGCTTCAGGCCCTGGTAACCATTGCAACATTGTAAAGTTCAGCACCTCCGTAGGACTCCATGTGTAACTTTTCCCATCGCCGTCCACTCTATCTGGGCTCGTCGCACCTCCAGGTTGTGCCATAGATGTCGAAGGCACATCCTCCTCTTCCTCTTGCTCTTCCTCGCCTCGCTGCATCTCCAGCTCAACCGGTGAAAGAAAGGGACTCCTTGGCCGCGACGAGAGCGGACGGGGTGGTACATCTCTCGTATGTAGTATAACATCGAGCAAGGCGGCAAGCAATCCCACAGGTGAGTCGCATAAAGAGAAGGCCAATGTCTGCGGCCGAAGAGAGTAGAGACGATGTAGCGTGGGTCCCAGCGGCTCACCGCCATACACAGCATCCAACGTTGCCGGGTCTTTCCCATGCAGGCCTTTCGGAGGTGTCTGCACTTCATTCGGCATATAACCAAAACTCAACAGCGGCACTTTTGCCCGCGTCAACTTCGCAACTCGGTACTTGAGATACCGCATCGGCCCGCTCTTCAAATTTGGCTTGTCAAACGATGGATTCGTAGTATGCACCGCCCGACAACTCTCTGGATGTCTCAATGCCAACGCGCGACATATACCAAATCCCCTGGAAGACTCGTCAGCAACCACGTAGCCAAAGTCAAGACCACGAAAATATGTGACTTACCATCCCGTTCCATGAGCGACGAATTGTGCATATCCCAACCTCCCCATCAATCTCTGGAATGCGTCCGCTGTCCCATGCAATCCAAAGCCTTCTTCCATACTCGCATCACTAAACCCAAACCCTGGTATACTCGGCGCCACAATATGAAAAGCCTGCTGTGCACTGTTCGCATGACCTGACAGAGAGTGCGGATCCGTCAGCCCATCGATGACGCGTTGGACCTCGATAAACGACGACGGCCATGTGTGACAGAGAAGCAAGGGAATGGCGTTGGGGTGTTTAGATCGCTTGTGTACGAAGTGTATACGTAGCGATTGTGTGGCATCAGTGGAGGAGACGGTGGAGGGTATGGTGATGGTTGTGCGGTATTGAGGAAGAGTCGAGTTGAAGCGCGATTCGGCGGCGCGCCAGTCGTAACCTTCGAGCCTGCTTGAATGTTAGTATTTGTGAATGTCGGGTGTAGAAGAAAGAGGAAACATACCAAAAGTCCAAGAGTGGCTCAAGCACACTCTTCGGTGTTCCTTGCTCCCATATCCTCTCATCTGGCAATTCTAGTTCACGCGGTAGACGCGTCAACTCTAACTTCTTCTTGGTGAGCTCAAGGTATTTGGCGGAGACCTATTTTGCGGTTAGGCTCCTCGGCTCAGTAATAGGTGGATTGTTAGGAGACACGCACATGCATGCTGTACGTGGTGATGGCTTCATCGTCGTGAGGTGCAGATGTATTCATGATTGCAGAGGTAAATGAGGTATTGGAGTAAGTCTGTTCTGTTCGTTAGTGCCAGTCGCATGGCTGGTTTGGTAGGCCGCAACTGTAAATACCTGTCATGTATATCCTATCTCTGTCCAAATGTTGCACGTGTACACAGCAGGCGTGATATTTTCACCAAAAGTTTGCTACCAAAGGACCAAGACGTAAAGATTAATACAAAGAAGTATAATGTACACTATTGGGTTGCGGGAGCACTACAGAATCATGGGGTACCTCCACTTAACCTTGAACACTTTCGTCCGTCGCGAATGCACATCAAGACAAGATCGTCCTGAGGCCCGTCAGAACAGCCTGGAGCTTGCGCGTTTCGCTTCATTGTAGAGCCATGAAACGAATCTAGGGCCGCTTGTAGATGTCCTTACACTGTTGTTGGCTGTCTATCTCTAGCGCACCAAGATGTGGCGAGTGTTGTGGCTGTGCAGTCGAGCCCAAATGATCGGCAAACGTCAGGGTCTGATTAGGATAAAAGGCCTAACCCGCATGCCAGGCACACCAATCAGCATTCGCGATGCTATAAACCTTCTCGAATACCATGGAAGTTGTGGCCAATATTTGCCATGTGGCTGAAATAACATTGCCGTGACATTTGTTACACGTCTCTAACTGTGTTGGCGCCGGCATTACCGCTGCTCGTTGGGGAGCGTTGCGCGCCTTGGGTTGCAACTCCGCGTAGATTGAGGGAGCCAATTCGCTGCACGAGATTCGTCCCGACCGCATCTACAGCCCCTCTTGGCTGCAGAAGTGAAGGCGCTGTGGCCGCAGCTTCTTGAACCTTGAACAACCTTATGCTAGTGTTGTTCCACACCCCGGCAGTACCCTTGGCTACGACCATCTCGGCTGCGAAGACGAATCCCCAGAGTAGCGATTCATACCAACCCAGAGATAAGGCCGACCACTCGAAGAGGTGCACCCTGATAGGCGAAGGCTCAATTCCACGCACCTCGGTCTCGCGTATAGTTTTCAACGCCGCGGCCGTGTCATTGGCGCTGCCTGAGCTGGGCATCTTAGGACCGAGTTCCGATATCAGCATGAGAATAGTATGCATCGGTAGTTCTGAAAGCCATCCTTCCAACTACAGAGGTCAGTAAAGCTTGTGGTCTGTACAGCGCAAACTTACCCATGGGACGGAAGGAGTAAAGAACTCATTAGTGGCTAAGGCTGGGCCCGCCAGACTATGTAGACTAGTCATACTGTTCTGCCGGGAGAAGGCTGGCTGGCCTACTGGCATCTTGCCCCTTGCCTTCTCCGACATGCCCCTTACTTGAAGCGGCACAGAGTCGTCTATAGATGAGGCTATGGATGCGCTCCTCGACGCGCTTCTCGAAGCGCCTGACTGTGACGGGACGGGGGACCTTGACGGCTCGGAGGGACGTGCATCTTCTGCATCGGAGTCATCATCGTCGCCAATAGCGAAAGCACTGTCCTCTTCCGGTACATTGCCTAGAGTAGGTGTGCGAGCTACCGTAGGACTTCTAAGACTGTCAATGGAATTAGTTCGTGTGAGGTCTTCGCCGCCTTCTTTGCGTTGCTGGTTCTGACGCTCAATTTCTTCTTGGCCGCTCTCCAACGTGAAGTCTCGCAGTGCCTGGAACCTTTTCCGTGATCTCACGATAGCGTACACCAGGTTTGGGTTGTCTAAAGATAGTTAGAACAAGTAAAAGAGGGCCAGGGTTGCTGATCTTACGTGGGTATTGATGCTCAATCATAGCGTTGAGAACTTCTAACAATGATTGCAGAAGAGTGTGGTTGTTTTCGTTGGCGAACAGGAAGCTAGGAGATGACATGGACGCAAAGAGTTGGAGCAATCTAGAGCTCGAGGCGCGTCCGATGTTCTGAACGTAAGCCGCGATGTTGTTGAGGATTGCGAGTAAAGCAGGGTAGATGGCGTCTAGCCTGCCTTTACCAGTGGTGAGTAGGGTATATATAGACTAGCATAATTAGCACAGGTATTGATTTTAATGGTGATACATACCGTGATGACGTAGTCGGCGTATGTACCGTGGAAGTTGGGTATGCGTATGCTAGCTGGAAGCGACTCTTGCCCCTCAAAAGTCTTGTTGAGGCTCTTGCCAAACTGCGGTTCGACACTCAACGTCTGGAGCACAAAGATGCACATGCGCACAAGACCCTGCTTTGACAGATCATTCCGCTGGTCGATGGCATAGTAGAGCACCAAGACAACGAAATCGTGGGCCCTATCGGTGTCAATGATGAAGGAGCGGAAGCGCTTGTTGCACTGCAGTGCCTCCCAAAACAGCATGATCATTTCGGGTGCCCAGGTCAGTGACTTGTGGCTACCAGGAAGATAGGAGGTGTTGGCTTGAAGCTATTCTGTATCAGCGAGAGAAAACAGCGCATTGGATGTGTTGCATACCGGCTGATTGAGTATTCTCGTCATACCATCAACCAGGAACTGAAAGTCTTGGGGACGGTGTAGACGGCCGAGAAAATGGCGGAAGAAGTTCTTAGGCGCTGGGCCGTTTCCAGACTCGGGTATGGGGTACAGGACGAGGACGAGGAGCAACTGCAAGCAGTAGGTAACCAGGACCTGTCGCTGGTCCTTAAAGACGACGTGGTCGTATGGCACGCGCCATGTTGCGGGGTTGTATTTGAGGGTCTGCGAGATTCAGTAGTGCATAACAGAGAATATCGAGGCACTCACGGTATTGAGCAGCGAGCAGAGGACGGACAGAACGACCTGCTTGTCGGGACAGGTCGCAATGTAGGTGATAGCCTTAACGCCCTTGACTGGCAGCACGCCCGCCGACATGTACATGGACTTGCTGGCTAAAGTAAGCAGCAAGCGCAGGATCTCGGTCCTGTTGCTCTCAAATTCCTTGGTCGAGGCGACGGGCGTGTTGCAGCCAACGCCGCTCTGCCATATCGCATACGAGACCTTGTTCTTGCCAGCCGCGACTTTGGGAAGGGTGAAGTCGGAGAAGAAGAGCAGGTCAATCAGCGTGTCGATGATCTCCTCGGCCAGCGGCTTGGCTTTCTCGAACTCAGGCTCCTTCTCAGTGGGCGTCTGCTCAGGGTCGGCCTCGTCGAAGATGATCTCGCTTCGCACCAGCTGGCCCCGCCGACTGCGCTTCCGCCGCGCGGCCCAAAAGAATTGGTCCTCCCAGGTCTCGAGGTGGTCGGCTTCATACAAGAAGGGCAGCAGTCGCGTGAGGACCCGTATGCAGTTGAGGGCGTCGCGCTCCGGGGCCAGCTCGGGGTCGGGGAAGGAGGGGTGGTTGCGCAGGACTATGAGGCGCGAGGTGACGGCGAGGATGAGCGTCTCGAGATTGGCGAGGTTGTTGTCGCGGGTGCGGCGAATGTCTGCGGGCGAGAAGAGCGAGAAGACATCTTCCGTCGACTCGGGCAGCTCCCAGAACTGGCGCCGTCGTCAGTACAGCAACAGCACAGAGGGCAGAGGGCAGGGCAGAGCATACGCCGGTCCAGTAAGCGTCGTCGGCGGGGATCTGCTTGGGCTCAGACAGGCGGAAGACGCCCTGCTTGAAGGACAGTTTCGAGTCGGATGCACCCATTGGCAAGCATGTCACGGCGTCATGTGCGCATTGCAAGTGCGGTAGATTGACACAGTAGATGTGGTGAGAGCAGCCTCGCCGAGAGTGACGTCGGCAGCGCCCCCGAACAAACGCCGGCTATTCACATGCTTTCGCGTCTGGGCGCGTTGCCAGTTCAGACTCACCATCCAGTCGAGTACATCTTCGTCGCCTGCTCAGACCAGCACAGTCATCGTCTGCTCCACGCTCAGTGACCGTCCAGAAGTTGCATTTGGGTCCAGACGCGAATGCAGGTGCCATACGTCATTACATAAGTACCGCGGCGCCTTCTTTCACCTGTGCCTGCTGCCTCCGCCACCGACACTTCACCCGCGACCGCTCTACATCCATACCACCCGTCTGTCTTGTCGCTCCCACCGCTCGCCTATTCTCGAAACCGTATACCACAACGATACATAAGGGGGCTCCGTATTTCAGCAGCAGGCGGCCGCCACGATGCCACCCAAGCGCAAGCTCGCGCAGACGGCAGCAGACGCAGAGGCCGAGGATGGCTGGGACGACAACGATGAGGGCCCCATGAGTGATCAGGAGACGTTCGACCAGCTCAAAGAGGAGTTCGACGTCAAGGCCATGACAAAGCGAGCGCGCGCTGGTAGGGTCAGAGACGCAGCGGCCGATCTCTTCAGGAAGTCAGACCAGTGGAGTGCGGAGCTGAAGCCTGACCATCACAATCGCCCGCTCTGGGTCAACGACGCGGGTGGTATCATCCTCGAGTCCTTCCATCTTCTCTTCGATGAGGCCCAGGACTTTTTGATCAACATCGCCGAGCCGCAGTCGCGTGTCTCCAAGATGCATGAGTACCAGCTTACCACCCACAGCCTCTTCGCCGCCGTCAGTGTTGGGCATTCCAAGCAGGAGATCATAGACAAACTCGACCGCTACTCCAAGACAGCTCTATCCGCCGCCATCATGCAATTCGTCGAAAAGTCCACCTCCGCCTTCGGCAAGGCCAAGATCGTGCTCAAGAAGACATTGTCGTACATTGAGAGCGAGGACCCTACCATACTACAGAAGCTTCTACGCGATCCTGTGGTCGCCGAGTGTCGGGCAGATTCAACAGACGGTCTCATCAAGGAGGCCGCCCCCAAGATTGGTCAGATGGCTATTCCGGGTACCAAGCTCGCTGCTGGTGCGAACAACATGGCACAGCAGCAACAGCCAGAAGCTGTACAGCAGCCGCCGCCAAGCGACATGATCGCCACGCTTCGAGAAGACGACGACGATGACGAAGTGGCCCAAGTCCACTCGTTTCAAATCAGAAGCGAAGAGCGCGAAAAGGTCGTCAAGCGCTGTCGGAGCATCGGTCTGCCGCTCACGGAGGAATACGACTTCAACAACGACGATACCAACCCGAACCTCGAAATCGATCTCAAACCCCACGCGCAAATCAGATACTACCAGGAAAAGGCTCTGAGTAAGATGTTCTCCAACTCTCGAGCGCGCTCCGGCATCATCGTGTTGCCTTGTGGCGCAGGTAAGACTTTGGTTGGCATCACAGCTGCCTGTGGTGTCAAGAAATCCGTCATCGTCTTGTGCACGAGCGCCATGTCTGTTGTGCAATGGCGAGCCGAATTCATCAAATGGTCCAACATCAACCCAGAGGACGTTGCTGTCTTCACTGCCGATAACAAGACCAGATTTCCCCGCCAGGCCGGTATCATTATCAGCACCTATTCTATGATCAGTAACGCTAGGAAGCGTTCGCATGATGCTGAAAAGGTCATGCAGTTCATCCGTGAGAGAGAATGGGGTCTGCTGATTGCCGACGAGGTGCACGTTGTACCCGCCAATATCTTCAAGAAGGTCACCTATGAGATCGCATCACACGCGAAACTCGGTCTTACTGCTACACTGTTGCGAGAAGATGACAAGATCGATGACCTCAACTTTTTGATTGGACCCAAATTGTACGAAGCTAACTGGCAAGAGCTATCGGAGCAAGGTCACATCGCCAAAGTCCAGTGCGCTGAAGTCTGGTGCCAGATGACACCCGAGTTCTACACCGAGTGGCTCAAACCATCGTCCCTGCAAAAACGTGCACTGCTTTCCATCATGAACCCCAAGAAGTTCCAAGCCTGCCAGTTCTTGATCAATTACCATGAGTCACGAGGCGACAAGATCATTGTTTTCTCTGATAATGTTTATGCACTAGAGAAATACTCACGAAAACTGGGCAAGGCTTATATCTACGGCGCGACACCTCAACAAGAACGTCTCCGTATTTTGGAGAACTTTCAACACAACGAGCTTGTCAACACTATTTTCCTGTCCAAGATTGGTGACACCAGTCTCGATCTACCCGAGGCAACGTGTCTCATTCAAATCTCTTCCCACTACGGTTCCCGTCGTCAAGAAGCACAGCGCTTGGGCAGAATTTTGAGGGCGAAGCGTAGGAACGACGAAGGCTTCAACGCCTTCTTCTATTCCCTCGTCTCCAAAGACACCGACGAGATGTACTATTCGTCGAAGCGACAAGCCTTCCTTGTTGATCAAGGATATGCCTTCAAGGTCATCACGCGTCTCGAAGGACTGGAGAACTTCTCACAATTGGCGTTTGCGACACCGCAAGAGCGCCGAGAGCTACTGATGGATGTCCTTCTTGCCCGCGAAGAAGACGCAAAGGAAGAGAGGATTGAGGGTGATGCCTTTGGCACCAAGTACGCCTCCAACAAGGGCAATAAGAAGAAGAATGGAGTGAGGCGAGCAGCAGGTACATTATCCGAGTTGTCCGGTGGCCAGACCATGGCCTACATGGAGGTCAACAAGAGCAGAAATAAGGAGCTCAAGGGGACCAAGGGTGTCCAAAATGCCTTCATGCGGAAGCTGGCTAGGTCTGGACCCAAGAAATAATGTGTACGATACCATGGTGCGTGTATATCGCGTTTTGCATTGCTATGGCGTTCTCATTATCGAATACTCTTTTCGGAGTTGTCGAACCGGGTGGTCCCTGTGTGAGGAAAATTGTACTGTCGGACTACTATCTATTGAGAGTACACATCAAGCTTTACATTGTGCCGCCCTGAAGAGGTACGGATGAAATAACACCCGTTTCAGGCGAGCAATTCGCATACTCAAACATAGCGTCGCCCTTATTGATGACACATACCTCGTGCCATGTCCGGAATCTCCTCTCATCTCCAAACGCTTTGTAATGTGCAAGTGCACCACCATAGATCTTCAGATGCGACGCGTGGCTTTTGGCCCAATGCTCTAGATCTTCGAGGTTGGCGAAGAAACCCGCGCCACACGATTCCTTTCGCTCTTCCTTACTACCGCAAGGGTGACTTACATCCTCGTTACGAAGATATGAGATACTAAGAGCTCCAGTTTCCGTTGAATGCTCATGTAGATATTTGAGACCTTGCTTCAATGTCGGTTCGAGCTTCTGTTCGTACGAATCTGCTTCTTCTTTACCGCAGTTCGCCCAATACTGGCCAGAGCGAATATGGACCATATTCTCGTGATTGGTACCAGTCAAGCGTTGGCCTATGCTATTTGGTATTGGGTTTGGACGCGGCATGTCAGCGGCTCGGGGGAAAAGATCGTGTGCGGAATCTGGAATGCGATCTCGAGCTGCTCCCCAGTACGTGCTTAGATTGTGTTCTTCGGTGCCGGCTCCAGGTAGCCTCGCTAGTCCGGGAAGATAGTCAAGACCAGAATAGTTTGTTTCGAGACGTGATACTGATGTCCTGAAGCCTTCGTGCCATAGCCCAATGAGTGGCTGACCAACGGTGGATATATTCTGATGTATATTTCTGAGGTTTAATGATTCGATGGCACTGTTGCGTCTTGCTTCATCGCTCCAATAGCACACCCACACAGTCCCTTCGATGCGACTGTAATTGTCGAGCGTAGTGAATGCTTCTACTGCTTCTGGCGCGTCGCTTTGCCTGAGCCATTGCTGGATAGCACATACGCCCTCTTCTTTTGCCTGCGCAGCTACAGCGCTGTCCTCATGCTGCTCGATACCAACGTATGATGTGAATACTCGTTCGACATTGGTGGGTAGGCTGAGTTTCCATCGAGGGATGGGAACGCGATGATTACGAGGTTTGCGCAAGGGATACAGGCGAGCGGGGCAAGACATTTGGCCTGTTTCAAAATGCCGACTGATATGATACAAGGTATCTTGAAGGAGCCGGGGCTGGAATCTTCTGTTCTAAAGACGAATTGTGGCGAGACCCCGCATCCTCAGCCTTATCTCGGCATTAGCTTTCAAGAGGTAGTCTTTACGTACTCTAGTCCGTGTTGTCAACGTCCCCAAGTCCACCTTCCTCCGGGGACGCGGATGCCTGATGGCAGCGTCCTCCAGACAGTAGCCGCCTGCAGCATCTGCATGTAGTAAGACCTCTGCACAGGGAACAAAGAACCGTTGCGCTTTGTAATGCTCAACAGTTAGCATGATAGAGCGAGACAGCCAAGCTTGAGCGTTGAGCGAATCGTGGCGTCGATGTGGCTGCGCGTCTCCCCGCACTTTCGGACTTTCAGCGCTTGGCACCTACGGACATTCGGACTTCTCAATCCCAACGTTCTTTCGCGATCTTCCCCAGCGACTCGAAACGCCTTAAACCCCATAACGCGTCAGGCACCACGCCAGGCGCACGTCCAAAGACCCAGATCAATGCCAGTTTGGGGACGACTTAAGTATGGCTCACGCGTGTTGTTCTCCAAATGTTTGTGAGACTCCTCTGCGACATGTCGCAGCGTCACGAACGGCCGAGTTATGCCTAACCCGACCTGTCGGATGCGTAACGTGTTTGCTGATCGTGAAAACAGTCCGGCTGGGCAGTGCACGATATGATGATTGATATATATCTTGGTGGTTAACGATTTGTATTTTGTTCTGTAGACTGGTTCTCGACTTCTCTTCCACCTCTCTCTACTTGCACTTCTTTTCGCTTCGTCGCCTGCTGGTATTGGCAAACCGCTGGACGGCATTTCCTCTTCTATTTTATACCTTT